TGACATTTCGGATTTGTCATTTTAGCTAATAAATGTGTATTTATCCAACTTATATAATTAAACATTTTTACATAAACACCTGAATATTTTGGTGGACCACACTCATATCCAAAGTAAGTAATTCCAATAGGATATAACCTGGTGTCATTTTAGAAACAGCACATCAAAGGTCCACTGCTGTCTCCCTGAAACATGAAAATATTACATAGCAGTTTTTATTTGTGACATTGTTTTGAATTTTGTATGCTATTATTGAAGTAAAAAAATTATAATCCACATTTAGAAATGATATCGGTCTGTAATTTTTTATCTGGGTCAAGTCTGAATCTTCTTTTGGTATTAAAGTAATATTTGCTTCTGTCCATGTACTTGGAAGTTTAGCCTCCATCTTTCAAGGTGCACTTAGTGTATCTTGTAAACATTTATATAACTGCCTGTAGCCCATCTAGTCCCTGTGTTTTTTCATTTTTGGGGGTTCTTATAGCCTCTGTTAATTCCATTTGTATTTATTTTTTACTCATAACTTCCTTCTAAAATCTACTAAAACATACAAAGAAAGAATATTGTTGATTTTGGAAATGTTATATCTCTGTGCTCTATATGGTTCTCAATGGATTTTTTTTAAGGAAAAAGTTTTTTCTTGGCTTAACATGCTACTATAAATTAGTGGTTTTGAACTATGCTCCAACACTGGAAGTTTTTAAGAAGAGACTGGACAGCCGTTTGTCTGAAATGGTGTAGGGTTCCTGCCTGGGCAGGGGGTTGGACTCGATGACCTCCAAGGTCCCTTCCAACTTTTTTTTATTATTATTATTATTATTATTATTATTATTATTATTATTATTATTATTATTATTATTATTATTATTATTATTATTACAACACCATAACCCACTTATAGTTTATTACCAGTATAGGTCATCTGCAAAATCTTATTACTTCAACTTACAAATTTTTCTAATGAGGTTATATTTACCTAAATTGCTGTTTAGAGACAGAAAAACATGCTGATCAATTTACTGATTGAGAAGAGCCATCAATAATTTTCATTTTTTTAATATTAAAAACTTGTAGGTTTTTTTTAATACTATAAAATTAGCCCAGCCCAATCCCTATATGATGTTACCTGGCTGAGAACGAAAGTAAAATAGTAGACTGAAATTACAAGCATACAATCTGTATTCAACTGCAATTTTTTTAATGACAGTGAATATATGGCATACATGGCAACATTAGGCATTTGTCATATGCATTTCTTTTGAATTTATATGGAATAAGATAATTTTACAAATTATTAGTCCCATTCAGGAGGGAAAAGTGTTTTCACGAGAGACCAGTCTTATTGATATAGTAAAATAGTCTTATATTTTCATCCATTTTATAGTCAATATATCTATCTATCTATCTGTCTGTCTATGATTCAAGCTTTTCCCTTTTTAAAATAACAGTTTAAATACATGTTTTTCAATTTATTTAGGCTATGTAGGTGAAATATTACAAAATGTATGCTAAACATAATATATTCATATTATTAAATATTGTTTTATAACTATAAGAGGAAGTAATATTTAAAAGACCATCTGATATCATGTCATTTTTTCATAGAGACATATGGATTGCTATCCATCTTATTATCAACAAAATTAGAACATTATGAATGTTCATAGTAGTAGTTCTGCTTTGTAAAAGAGTTTTCAACCAATTTCTGTAATTCACTAGACGTACATAGATGCCTGGATTATTTGGTCGGCCACAGCCACGGCCAAAGCTGGTTATTCCTACCAGATAATAATGTGTGGCATCTCGGATATAACACATCAATGGTCCGCCGCTGTCTCCCTAAAAAATGAAGGAATTAACTTGCTTAGAATACACTTACCGTACATTTTAAGATGCTGAAGGCCTATTTTGACATGAATTGTTAAAATATTTTTTCTAAGAAAATATGTAAAGTTTGAATTAGGCAATCTTGTGTCTTATTTAGAGAGCAGTGCTACAAAGTGCACTTAGCAAGCAACCCATTTAATTCAATGGGGCTTCCTTTTGGATAAGTGGTGCAAGATTGCTAAATTACTAAATTTAAACTACTAACATTACTAAATTTCTTCATTGATATTTTGGGCATTCCAGTTCCAGTATAAATATGTTTATTCTGAAAGTCAAGATACAGACTAAAAACACATAAGAATATTTATCCTCTGTTAAGTTTTATAATTACTATATATGTAATGTTGTAATGAACCACTTTCAACCTCTATTTCAAAATTGTTTTGTATGGACACAAAGTAGTTGAAATATTCTGAGCAAAGTAAAAATATTAGTTGAACTAAATTGTGATGCCTGTTTTCCTGCAAAAAGTGTCAGCTAATTTTATTTCGTAGATTTGTAAATTTATTTGCTTGACTGGTACCAATCAGGATTTTATGGCAAAAAATAAAATAAAAATGAAATTATTTCAGTTTTACCTGACAGCTATCCACAGCTCCACCTTCAGAGCCAGCACAAAACATATTCATTGTTACTGCTCCACCATACCAATCGTATCTATTACATATATTTTGTGGAATAATATCAACCTGTGCTTCTTGTAATATATATATTTTTTCACCTTTAATGAAAAAATAAAAAGTAATGCTACAAGTATACTTATGCTTTTATTTTTTTTTAAAATACTGGTATAACTCAATAAGGAAAATTGCTGCCTACTGACAGCTATTTACTTTCTGAATAGCAGCTATGTTTTTAAAAACAAAAATGAATCCATTGTCTACAATGATCTATATATATTTGGGAAGGAAGCCATATATTTTTATACGTCATTAATAGAGATTAGTAAGAGTTTTTATTTTGCTGAGTCCTACATGATTGGTGTGAAGTAAATATATGGTACCCTGCTAATATACATTATTATGACCAGCACTCACAATAAACCTACTGACTTACTTTAATAATCCTATGCAAGAGAGTTAACTAGATTTTTCATGAATGAATTTCTGAAGCAAAGTACTACTTTACTCTTACTAGTTCAGTATGGAAGAATATGCACATTATTTACATAGCAGAGTTTAGAATAGCGGTATCAAGTTTCCTGAGTGATTGGTAGAATGTCAATACATGTCTAGGAAGGTTGGAAAAGTTCATGAAACAGGATTCATGGGGAGTGGAATATTTTAACTGAAAGCAAGTGATAGTAAACACGATTGTTTGTCCTGTGTTACATGAACCTACACTATGCAGTTTTTTCTCTTACATGATTTTGTCAAAATTCTTTTCTCTCATAACAATGGCAAACAATTGTATCTATACAGTATAGATGCAATTATACCAACTCATTGTTCTTGATCTTTGAACCGATTCTCCCTCTCCATTAATCATTATTTCTTGATTCACGCTCTTATCTGATACATGAAAATACCGAAGTACAATTCCTCAGTCGAAATACTTTGTTTAAGAGTAAGTATTTATATATATACTGTAATTCACAAAAATATCCACTTTCATTTTTCAAAAAGAATCAGCCTTGTTTATTACTTATTGTCATGAAAACAGTGCTTAGTGAAATTGTAGAAACTGAAGAGATAGCTGCATATAATGCTCGGTAATTGATGGAACAAAAGCAATATAAGCACACACTATTGACTGCAATCACACACACTCACACAACTAATTGCTTGTGTATCATAAAGGTCACCACAGGCTTTTTCCCCACTTAATGGGATAAATGGAATTAACATAGAAAGATTTTACGAGTTCAGTGAAATTACCAATGAAGGAGAATATTGTAGCTCAGGGTTGAAATGAGGGGTCCTTGGTGCTCTCTGAGCTTGCTTGTTTTCTTGCAAATTAGGGTACAGTTTCATATACTGTACCCTAATTAGGTAACATTACCCTAACTAGGTAACATCAGTGCTAATTAGGGTAATGAAACGTTTGCAAGAAAATAAGCAAGCTCAGAGCACCAAGGACCCCTCAGTGAAATTATGACTGCACTCAACAATAAATTAATTTACAGGGAAATTAAAACATTTACCTTCCTCATGTGCATTTCCCCATCCTGTTATATAACATGGAGTATCATTACCTAGAAAAAGAGGACTTGGAAGTAAGCAGATAGGCTGAATATAATCATTAAATGTGATAGGATTTTGTAATGTAAATAATGCAATATCATTTTCATACGTTTCCTTCTTGAAATGAGAATGGATTATAATTGCTTTGATTTGACTCTCTTTAGTGTAATATTGATGATGATAAAGATTATGTAAGCCAAATACAGCTCTCCAAAACTCTGGATTCCTAGGAGAAGGGAAAAGTGATATACTGTAGATAATGTTTATTATGGAATTATAACTTCAGTACTATTTAAGAATTGTCATGGCAACTGTTCTAGGCAAAATTAATAAGCTTCTTACGAGACCAAAATCAGAATCAGTAATCCTATACAGAATCAGAAATTTGATTATTGATAGGAAACCTACCTATATGAATATATCTTATAGAAGATTTAGTCATAAGTGCAATCTGGTTTCAAATAAGACAAGTGCAATCAGGTCATGATGC